TCTGATGAGCGTTTTTTGAAGCTCAGAGTAGGCTGCTCCACCGTTGACATCTTGGCAGTGTCTGATTCCGCCCCTATCTCCCAGCTAATCCAAAAATGGACATAACTTTAGTCCTTAATAAAATGTAAACAGGTGAGTTATATAAACAGTTGCCATGAAGGAGGAAATTAGCTCTAGAGACCAAAACTGTTTTTGTACCAAGCTGTAAACATGTTTATTTCTGCTGTAAAGTTGGACATTTTAACATGGGAGTCTATGGGGATTGACTCACTGTTGGAGCTAGACTCTAGTGGTCATTAGGTTCTTCAGTGATGACTTCATGTTTCAGCCCTGGAGGTTGATGCTTGGCACTAACTGACCACTACCACTAATTGGATATTTGCAGTGTTAGTAGTCAGAGCTAACTTTAGCAGCCAAGTCTCTGCTAGACACAGAGGCTGGTGCTGTTTTGGTTGATTTATGCCCCTATTACATATAAAACCATATGGGTACCTGTGTTGTAGGTGGGGTACAGCTCTCCTGGTGTGTGTGAGTGCCAGTGTATACAGTTATAGCCCTAAATGTCCAGAGAGCTCTGCAGAGCTGTTAACAGTGTGTACACACACACACACACACACACACACACACACACACACAGCTAAAAGGCCAGTGAATATTAGATTTACATTTAGTCATTTGACAGACACTTTTCTCCAAAGACTCACAAGTGAGGGACAACACTGAAGCTTCAGTGCATTGGGGGACCTTGGTGTAAGTACTAAGTACTCCATCTATGCAATAAATAAGTAATTGCTGTGTGAAGTCACCGTGACCACAAAAATCTAATCAGTTCATCCTTGAGAAACGTTGACATTTGTGTCAAATCTGAAGAAGCTCCATGAAGATGTTACTGAAATACTGTGTCAACGAGAATGAGACGGACGGACGGACAATCTGAAAACATCATGGCTCCAGGTCTGACTGTCGCCGGTGTGGAGGAATAAAAATGCACCGAAAGTTGATAGTCAGAGCTAGTTAGACATGTCGGGGTGTTAGAGGTGTTAGGAGAGGAGGTCTCTGTGAAGAGAGGAGGCGCCCCGCTCTGGTAGAACCACAGACCTGAACAGTCTGGACTGACACTGTCCTGTGTGCAGGGATGGTGATGCCAGACCACCTTCATTAGAGGAGCACAGTGGCTGAGAAGCAGCATAAGGCTGAATGACTGAGATCCAGTAGATGGAGCATTCCCAGAAGTCTCTCTGACGGCAGCATTAGTGGCTGAATGTGATTCAGGAGGTCGTGGGTAGTTAGTGGAGGTCCACGAGGAGCAGAGTGACATGTGACCTTTGAGGATGATCTAACACCGCAGTGCATTCTGGACTATCTGTAACAAGGCTTGTCAGAGGGACACTGCACTAGTCGGGGCCAAGTCGAACTGTGACCTGCACTAAGAGGTGGGTGACGTCCTAAAGCCCGATTATTAGATTGACATTCATTAGGTGGCCAAAGCACCACTGCAGCATTGTGTAAGAAAGTAACTGTTTGCTATCACATTTTATTAGCTAATAGTACGTGAGTCTTTCTTCCCTCTGGGTAAAAAAAATCACTTCAGTACAATGTTAAATCAGTTGAAAAACCTAATCCACTCTATCATTTGTTTTCCCTGCAGATACAAAGACACATTAAACAGCAGACCCATAACAGAAAACACAGTGAAAAACATTGTGTTTCATTTAACGTTTTGCTTTCCCATGTCATCCTGCAGACGCATGTTTGGTGTGGACAGCAGGAGATGTGGTTCACATTCTCACACTTTCAGTAATGAGCTCTAATGAGATACAATACATACTTTAAGATGATCTGGAGTACATTGGGGGAATTTCTTTGTGTACGTGGAGGTGAGGTGGCCAATGTCTATCATCTCACTTCTTTTTAAATGCAAAAAAAAAAGTACGAAACAGACTTTCTCTGTTCCTCATTAAAGTGCATGGATATTCCAGAACTACACTCACAACATCATGACACATTCACTGTCCTCGCCATCTATTTATCTCTAACTGTATCCCCACTGAGTCTCGTCTTCATCTGTCTATCCTCCTCTCTCTCTCACTCACTCACACACACACGCACGCACGCATGTACGCACGCACGCACGCGCACACACACACACACACACACACACACACACACACACACACACACCTCCAGTTTGGCCGGGAACATGTTTTGCCTCAGGGGTTCTATCTTGCTCCTGCCCCATTACAGGGCTAATGAAAGCAGTGAGAGGATCAAATGCAATGAAGCTGCTTTTCACACTGCTTAACCCTTATAAAAACCTGTGACCTCGCTGAGCACGCACACACACACACACACACACACACACCAGTACATGCACACATACAAACCCTGAGTTTTGGATACACATAGTTACATATATAGAAACGGAGGAAAAGGAGAGTCACAGCGACACATGGACACTGTGGTTTGCGCAGCTCTTACTGTATTTGTGCACTTTTTGCATGTGATTGTCACATCGGGTATTTTAGCTCATGTACATGTGGTGTTGATTGCTTGAATTATTCATTTCTTTATGAATAATAAATGTGTTGTGATGACTGGAACACCTGATTCTGATTACTTGCTTATAAGTAGGAAAGTGGGTGACGACTAAAATTCATGCAAACTTTTATAAAGCCACAATGAACTGACATGAACTGAGATGAATAACATGCTTTGCAGTGAGTGCCGCTGCTCTTCAGTTGATGATATGAAGCCTCTTCAAAAGTTCAATATAAGATCTTTATTTGTTCTTTCCTATCTTTATCCTGCAGTTGATGAATTTCGATTATCTCTTTGTCGATCTTGATAGAAATCTTTTCAAGGTTGAAGTACCTATAATTGATACTCCTTTAAAACTATAGAGGTATAAATTACAGGTACTTGAAGCCAGAAAATATTTCTATCAAGATTGACAACATATGCAGCAAAGAGAAAATAAAAATTCCTGCATATGTTGTCAATCTTATCTAATCTTGTCTAATTTTATGATTATAGTTTTATTCTCATCCACCGATCCATAAAACAAAACAGCTTTTCTAGTGGCTAATCCATTAAAAAAATTTTAACCACAGGAGGTAAGGTTGAGTAACTGAGACAGACACTTATGAAGATGCACAGAGGTATAATATTCTCAATAACTGAAAGCGTCTTTTATTGAATAATGACTTTTCAAAAGAAAATAATAATCAAAACAGGATTCTGATGTGATGAGTGCAGTCAGAAACTGTTTCTCTCTGTCCTCTAACCTGACAGCGGGGTCATGTCAGGTAATCGGCACTTACACAGGTGAGTATCAGGTAATGACATCATCCATATTCTGCTTAAGGGCCCTTATGGCCAGTTTACTCAAACTAATGTCAGTATTTCATAAGTCAAATTAACATAATTCAAAATCAAACTTCCACAGAGCTACGGATTTTTCTTATTTACCTTCAAAACTCTTAATATGGCACCAACTAAATTATTATATCAATAAATATACATGGCCAACTGCTGCTTCATTCCTAAGTACCTGGCAGACGTGCATCATTTTCCACGTATTCTCCGTCATGACTTGAGTTAGCATGTAGATATCAGCCACATAGTGATATCAACATCACGGCTGCACTCTGACCTTTCAATGGACGCCTCACTCGACCAATAGGAGCTTTCATGTCCTGCCCACAGCCAACAATGACCAACTAGAGTCCACATTCAAAGGAGGGGCCTAAAGATCGAGCCAACTGAAAAAGATGGTGCTGATGACTGACACTTTGTAGAGCCAATGAAATCCTGCTTCAGTGGCTAGGCTAGTCTAACTATCTGCCAGCCCGAGTAACAGGCACAAAGTGGTTTTAAAAATAAATGTAAATTGTAAAAAACTGTTTTTCATGTTCCCAGATGTCACCGACGATAACAGTTTATGTGACAAACAGACAGACAGAAAGAGACACACAGACAGACAGACAGACAGACAGACAGGCAGACAGACAGGCAGACAGACAGACAGACAGACAGACCGACAGACAGACAGACAGACAGACAGGCAGACAGACAGGCAGACAGACAGACAGACAGACAGACAGACAGACGGAGACACAAAACTGTAAAATGTAAAATGAAAAATTTATTTTTACTCTTTTTATATCCACAAAGGGAAAGAGCTTTATAAAGTTTATGCTTCAGTGACTCTGGATATGGGAGAGGATTCCTCTAAGTGTCACCTTTCATTAGAGCCAGAAATTATGACTGTATATGTTCAAGCTTTCTATGCCAGGTATGTGACCTTGGCTCCTCTCTGGAGTCTCCAAATGGGAAACGCCTCGTCATACCTTTAGAAAAACATGTAAAATATTCATTTTCTATGGTGCTGTTACCAAATTTCAACTTGGACTAGTTAAAGTGTGTTTTCCAGCTAACAACTCACAGCTACAGTCATCTAATTTGAAAATAAATATGCAGGAGGAAATAAAACCTTCTACTTCAGTGTGTTCAAACTGTTCAAACTGGTAAGTCACTGCCAGTGACACCTTCAAAAGACCAAAACCATGCATGTACGTCAAACTGTCTAATTGTCTTTGGGTGTACCCAGGATAGACAATCTCTCATGTAGTCCCAAGTCAATCAGACTAGATTTGACTCAGAGTGGTCCAGGTGACTAAAGCTGTACAACTGAGACATTTAACCAAGATCACGTCATTGTTTTCATCTGCAGATCTAGAAAAGGTCATTCAGATTTTTATCTAATCCCGACCGGACTGTTTGAACACCCTTCAGTCTGGTGTCAGCAGGCAGACCATCCACAGATTACAGCTGATCATAGACATACAAAGACCTTAGACAATCATCTTCGCAGTTGTCTGTATGTAATGTAATTGTCCCAGTGTCTCACAGTTAATCAACCTGACTTAGCTGTAACTGTTGTAAAATGCTTGATGAAGGACCTCCCAAAGACATGACACCAGGAAGAAATCAATGCTTACCTACTGGCTGGTAGCCCTGCCTCGTAGGACCTCCAAATGGGTTGCGACTGCCAAAGGAGCCTCCGTCAATCGACCCATATGACATTCTGCCTGATGGTTGGTGAGCGTCAGCTGCAGGTGCCTGGGGGAGACAAATGACCACAATACAACACAATTTATTTTCACTTCGTTCAAACAGTCCAAAAATACCATTACTACAATACTATACTATACTATACTATACTATACTATACTATACTATACTATACTATACTATACTATACTATACTTTACTAAACTAAACTATACTATTAACAGTAAGTGAAGGAAGTAACTGTGATATACATAATGTCTTTGTAGCCCCATAAGACATGTAGAGAGATAATTAAATTAAATATAATTAATAATTGGACTAACTTTTTGGATGTGTTCATAGTTAGTTCGTGCTTACATCATCATTTGCCTTTCATATTCAAATTCCTGGAGGGTTGCATGGTGTGACTCTTTGTTAAGAAACAGTTCAATGTTTAATTGTTTTAATGTCCATAGACGCAGCTGTCACAGTATTATTATATATTTTCATGAAACATATTCATGTCCCTGATATTAGATCTGAAAAATGAAAAATAAATCAAAAGGGTTTTTACAGAGGTTGAATTTAAATAATGAACACAATTGAGCAGTTAGCTTAGCTTTGTATACTGTACACACAGTGGCTGTCAGGGGACAGCTGTGCCAAGTGGAATAAAACATGATACAACTGTTCATTAGCTTAATTAGTTTTTTACATAGATGCCCTTTTTTCTTTGGGCAGATTCAGGCTAGATGTTTCTCGCTGCTTCCGGTATTTATGCTAAGCTAGGCTAACCATGTCCTGAATCCAGCTGTACTCAACATGAAATTGACACAATAACATCATCTTCTCATTTCACTATTGGAAAGAATGGAAATACATTTGTTTCCCTACAATTATAATCATGATTTCTCAGATTTCTTTGTTCTGTGGTGCAGTGAGAATTACAGCCTTTAGGGGTCAGTACAGGGCCCTAAACCTTTAATAATGTTGAATGTTTCTCAATCATGTAGATCTCAGTCACCTGTGTGATGAGTCTGTGTCTATATAAAGCTGTTCCGCTGGTGATGGTGACAGAGCCTGGAGACGCTGCTATTTTATTAAAGTTTCTCTGAGCTGTCAGCTCAGTGTGTGGATCGTTCATTTCTCTTAATATTTAACATATATCTGTACTCGTGCAAGAACACTGCTGTGCACCGTGTGTGTGTGTGTGTGTGTGTGTGTGTGTGTGTGTGTGTGTGTGTGCATCAGTAGAGGAAAGAAACTGGAGTGTTTTAAGGATAATAAAGTATGAAGGAACCAAACTAACATTATTTTAACCCATAACCCACTTACACGTGGAGATTAGAGATGGGAGTGTGTGTGCGTGTGTGCGTGCATGTGCGTGGGTGGGTGTGTGTATGTGTGTGTGTGTGTGCGTGTGCGTGTGTGTGTGTGTGTGTGTGTGTGTGTGTGGGGGGGGGGGGGGGGGGGGGGTTGCAGCGCACTCATCTGAATTCTGCTGCAAAGGTCAGCTCATCATGTGAACATGTGTTTAACCCGCGGCCAGGGACACAGACACAGTCAGATCAGCACATCTCTCTGAGCGTCTATCAGGAGTCAGAGTGTGATGCTGGTGAAGTGGCTGCCGCTCTCTCTCCACCGTGAAAGACAAGCATTCAGACAAGCGGGAGAATGTGATTACACAGAGTCACTGTGCTGCCCATTGTTGTGGTGGAGCCAGTGAATCCGGCCTATAGGACGGGCATTATGGGTACGAAGTGGGACAGAGGAGCAGCCAGAGATTGGGCGTCCACACATTACACAGAGACAGATTCACTGGGCCAAAAGAACGCTTAATCCGATTAATTTTCATAGAGAGGGGAGATTAATTACTTCTGGCAGTCCATAAACAATCTTCACTCTGCTTGATTTCAAGCCCAGTGACTGCGCCTCACGTCCCTCTGAAGTGTGGACACACGCTGCCTCTATCTGCATATGAGATGGCCACTCATGGATGCGCACACACACACACACACACACACGGACGGACGGACGGAGACACACACACACACTTGGATAATCTTACCCTCCACTAATGTGTAGAGTTATAAATCCCTTTGCTTGTTCACTTAGTCACTCATACAAGTTAAAACTGAGGTCATTCGAGTGTTGATGAAACACGGAAATATTTCGAAATATTTTAAAAAATAAATATATTGCTGTGCTGTTGCTCATGCACATGATGGCATCATCCTCACTGATGTCATCAGAGCTCATCCTGTCCCTCTGGTGACACCCTTGCCCCCCTGAAATTACATTTACGGACAAATAAACTTCAGCAGAAACATAACTGTGACCAGATCATGTTTTCTACAAATACCAGAGATGAAAAATGTGAAAGTATTCAGACCCTTTCACTTTCTTCACATTTTGTTTTGTTGTAGTTTTACTGTAAAACACAAAAAGTACAGTTGAATTTACCTCAGGTGGATTCATCTCAAAGACTCTACATGTCACGTGTCATAGCAAACGGTCTGAACAGTTATGTCAATGTGTCAGTTTTTCCTTTTTAATAAATTTGCTAAAACTTTCCTTTTTTGTTTGTTTGTGTATTGATGTGATAACTTAACACAAACAAGTGTGACATGAAGGATACTGAGGACATAATAGACAGACATGCAGATAACAATGAAAACAAAAAGAATTATAGAGATGTAGCATATAAAAATGACAAGAAGATGAGGTGTATGAATGTTTGTGTGTGTGTGTGTGTGTGTGTGTGTGTGTGTGGGGACAGTGAAGAAGATAGTACAGTGATGACGATAATGATGTAACCTGAATATAATTGTCGACAGAATGTGATAAAAGAACAATATAATAATACTAAAAACATCACTAATAATACTTTATATCATTTATATGATATCCTGTCAATGTCATGGTAATATATCTGACAACAAAAGATAAGATTATCAAATAGTATAAAACAATATGATAATAGTGTAGTGATAGTATGATAACAATTCTATACACTGTGATACAATATACAATATATTATTTACATGATTGTTATTTAATAATAATTGTAATTATTATAATAATGTTTACAGTATTATATTACCCAATAATAAGCAATAAACGTTATGTTAAAGTGTGATGAGGCTGAGCCATTGTAAAAAAAAAAAAAATGTCTAAGAATCTATTTTCACTTTGTCATTATGTTGTATTGAGTAGATTTTTTTTTTATTTTAGCACGAGGCTGCAACATCACAAAATGTGAAAAAGTGAAGAGAAATAAAAATTTAAAAAATAAATTACTACATTTTCACATGAAGAAACAAAGCAAATACAAAACCGCACAATGATCAACTCATTAACACTGAATAAAATCACCTCTATCGCTGACAAATCCTCAACATCTTTATTTTCTAAGATAACAAATAACAATAATTGATTTATATAATATATAATAAATACTGATTCACTCATCTCAGACTGTGTCAACATTTCTCACTATCCATAAAGCGCATCTTCTCACTGTGGCAACCGCGCTGTCTTTAGCAACATATTAACAGAGCTTTTATAAAGTCATTTCGACCTGAATGGTTGATTTCCGATGTTTAGATGTGTTTGAAATAAATGAAATGTAGTTGGACGGGGGCGTCGTCATGTTCTCCACTCATTTGTCAGGTTTTTCCTTAATTTCTCACCTGTCTGTATGTTACCGGTCTACATTATAATATTACACAAAAGAGATAAAAACACTTAAACAGCTAACATTACCTGTATAGTACATGAAATAGCTACAGTATAGATATAAGCCAAAGAGGCTCTTTACTGATAAAGTACCAGTTTATAGGAATGCACACATCATCACATCATCATCACTACTCTGAAATGTAAGAATCCAGCATCTCTCCTGTTTACTGCTGCTGTGAAAAAAATGTATCTCCTCACAGTAATATGTGTCTGACTTGTCTTGAAGCAATTTTACAGCACACAAAAAATATATAAAAACAATCTGGGTGGTGAAAGATTCTGTGTGGCACATGAAATGCCACTTTTAAATGAAGACAGCCCTTGTTTATAGAGAAAAATAGGCCCTTACACTGGTAAACAGAGGAGAAGTGAGTCGAGCGTGTGCACCCCTGTGTGACACTGCAGGACACAGAAGGATGGTAAATACAGGCCTGGCAGGGCAGAGTGACTGGATCCACAGCTACTCTCCACCCCCACTGGTTTTCATTCAGTCCCCCACTCCTTTCACAGCTGTCATTATCAGCAACACAAGGCTTAGCTTAGCCAGAGCAGGCAACTGAGCAGAAATAAGCCCACACCCTGGACACAAATGCTGCATTTATCACAAACAAGCAAGGTCCAACCTGAGGCAGGAGTGTGTGTGTGCGTGTGTGTGTGTGAGGGTTTCCAATGATATGGATTTTTTGAAGGCTGATATCATTATTTGGAGATGGAAGGCACCAGTAATATCCTTGATATTCAATACTTTTATATTTAACCATTTTCTCTTTAAATGAAGGTATCTGGCTTTTCCTTTTTATAAATATAATAGTTCTACAGTTATTGTGCATTTTCACCATTGTTAAAACACTGTGGTGGCCATCTCCTTCGTTATCTTTTACACCCGTACTGCACATACACACAAACACTTCTTTATTTCGTACAACAAACCTATGGTTTATTTAGTATTTGTTGGATTTGTTCAAACTTTTGTATATTCAACATTTATATTTATTCATGTAAATTGATCTTAAGTTGTTCTAATTCTGTTTCTCTTTGTTAGTCAGGGTGTTAGTGTTTATGTCTGGTCTGATTTAGGTCTGATCAGTCAGTTCTTTGTCTGTTAGATCAGTTGGTTTGTTGTTACTTTGATATCACAGCCTGAGTTTAGATCTGTTCATTTGGCCTCTTCAATGGACCCAGAACGTTTTTTTAAATTCATTTTATCGAAAACGAATATTTTCCATCATTGACTGAACTTCTTTAACAATGACGGAAAAATCTGATGGCTGTCCAACATTTTGACGGATTAGAAGAGAGTTTGACAAGATGTCATGGAGGTAGAACTC